AGCTAGCTAGCTAGCTAGCTAGCTAGCTGTTGGTAGGTAGCTAGCTAGCTGAGGTTGTGTGAGCTGCTCACTCTTCTGTATCTGAAGAGGAAGGCTCTGCTGCTGTTGCTGCTGTTGCTGCTGCTGCTGCTGCTGCTGCTGCTGCTGCTGGCTGCAGCACAGGCTGTCCGTGTCTTGCTGCAGCAAGCCACTCTATTAGCTGCTGCAGGGACCTGGGTCGAAGCTCTTGCTGCTGCTGCTGCTGCTGCTGCTGCTGCTGTTGCTGCTGCTGCAGCTGCTGCTGCAGCTGCTGCAGCTCCTGCAGCAGTTCATTTGGTTTTATATTTCCCTCTTTTAGCTGCTGCTCTATCTCCCGCCGTGTTGCTGCAACCTCAGCATCAACACTGCTGCTGCTGCTGCTGCTGTTGCTGCTGCTGCTGCTGCTGCATACTCTGCTGCTGCTGCTGCTGCTGCTGCTGCTGCTGCAGCTGGTTGGTTGTTTGCTGTTGAAATTGTGCAGCGATATTTTTAGTGAAGACACAAAACCAAGCGTGAGGCCCCGCTGCCGCTGCTGCTGCTGCTGCTGCTGCTGCTGCTGCTGCTGCAGCTGCTGCTGCAGCTGCTGTTGCTGCTGCTGCTGCTGCTGCTGCTGCTGCTGCAGTGAGCGAGGCAGCTGCTGCCCGAAGGGAGCTGCGGTGTCTCGGCAGCTATTTAAGCTCTTTGCATTGGACACCTGCAGCAGCAGCAGCAGCTGCAGCAGCAGCAGCAGCAGCAGCAGCAGCAAGTAGGGGGATCGCTGCAGCAGCAGCACAGAACGAGATGAACTCATCGCCATAGACTGCTGCTGCTGCTGCTGCTGTTGTTGCTGCTGCTGTTGCTGCTGCTGCAGCTGCTAGTATGCACTATGTGCTGCTATTGTACTGCTGCTGCAGCTGTTGTTGCTGCTGCTGCTGTTGCTGCTGCTGCTGCTGCTGCTGCTGCTGTTTGTTTTGTCTTCAAGGAGAAGCAGCCTCTTTGCTGCAGCGGTAGACATCGTCTGCTGCTGCTGCTGCTGTTGCTGCTGCTGCTGCTGCTGCAGCCGCGAGCTGCCTGTACACCCGAAGGGCCAGACAATCGATGTGCGTCGCAGCAGCAGCAGCAGCAGCAGCAGCAGCAGCAGCAGGAGTTGTTGCAGCCAATGCGCTGCAGTAAAGATATTTTTCTTCTGCTGTTGTTGCTGCTGTTGCTGCTGCTGCTGCTGCTGCTGCTTGTGTTGCTGCTGGTGTTCCTGTCGTTGCTGCTGTTTCTGTTGCTGCTGCTGCTGCTGTCTGTGTTGCTGCTATTGTTGCTGCTGTTGTTGCTGCTGCTGCTGCTCTTTTGCACCCTCAAAAACCCTAAAACCCTAAAAAAAAAGTCTAGGGTTTAGGGTTTAGGGTTTAGGGTTTAGGGTTTGCTTGGGGGGCCCGCAGGTGTCTCCACAGTGGGGCCCCCCCCAACGAGAATTAGGGTTTAGGGTTTAGGGTTTAGGGTTTAGGGTTTAGGGTTTTGTATGAAAGAAATATAAGGGTTTATATAAAAAAATAAAAAACAAACGTTCTGTTTTTACTGTTGCTGCTGCTGCTGCTGCAGCATGCATGTTGCTGCTGCTGCTGTTGCTGCTGCTGCTGCTGCTGCTGCTGTTACTGCTGCTGCTGCTGCTGCTGTCTCTGTGTCTGCTGCTGCGAGCAGCAGCAATGCATGCGTTCTTTATATTTATTAATTCTTCTTTTTCTCTAAACCCTAAACCCTAAACCCTAAACCCTAAACCCTAATGCCAGAGACTCCTGGGTCTGCGGGACCCCTAAACCCTAAACCCTAAAACCCTAAACCCTAAACCCTAAACCCTAAACCCTAAACCCTAAACCCTAATGCCAGAGACTCCTGGGTCTGCGGGACCCCTAAACCCTAAACCCTAAAACCCTAAACCCTAAACCCTAAACCCTAAACCGTAAACCCTAAAACCCTAAACCCTAAAACCTAAACCCTAAAAGAGACACAAAGGAGGAGACAGAAAGAGAGACAGAAAATAACAAAAACAGAGCGACATATATATATATATATATATATATATATATATATATATATATATATATATATATATATATATATAT